AACTAGTTCAAGAAAAATTAAATTTTTCCTTCAACTAATAGTAAAATTTTTGTTGTTCTTCTTTTACTTTCATATCCTTTTTCTGTGAAGCAAAAAAAAAATATTTAGTTTGGCATACACAATTATTCCATAATGCTTTTAAAGAGATTTTTTTGTCATCTTTTCCTTGCCTTTTTCTTTCTTTTTTCTTTTTAATATCATTTTCAAAATTTTATTCACTCCTTTTAGTTTTTAATCTTGTCCTTGAAATTACTGAACTGATATTCGTCCATATTATTAGTATGTGTATGCATTGTGTATAAAAGAGTAATATTACATTGACATTATACAGAAATTCGTAAAATATAAATAAAATCTTTGGATAGCTATATAAAATACATAGTTTTGTACAATAACACATAGGAAAAAATATTATATACGAATATGTAAATAAATTTTAAATTTACATATACACAGATGTTCATACACAAATCCATATATACATACTTATTTATACAAATTTTATATTAGTTTTAATATTATTATAAAAGAATTAGGTTAAGGGTTGTATAGGTAATTCAATTCAATTTTAAAGATTAAAATTTCAAATGTATACTTAAAATATTTAAATAAATGTAAATTAAATGTGAATTAAAGGACAAGTAAAAAAAAATGTCTCAATAATCAAGGATACAATATACATTTACATGATACATATATAAAAATTCGTGTATAACAAAAACTGTTGTATAGAATAAAATACTTAACAATTATATATGAAAAGAGCAGCTTATAAGAAAAGAAGTAAGCACCATTATGATTTCAAAAGCAAACAAAATGGAAAATATTTGAAACTCAGTACAGCACCCACAGGTAAATTTTAAAAATTATTCCTTATAGTAAAGAACATTGGTATACAAAAACAAAAATTATAGAAAATTTGATGCTGAAAGGATGAAAAATTTTAACGTCAAAAATAAGAAAGAAAAAAAAACTCATATTGTGTTCGTATTTTCTTAAAAGGAATTTTATAAATTTTTTATTCTATTGTTTTTCTTATTCACATCAGAGACTTAAGAAAATTTTGAAAATTGTTGCTGCGTTATTGTATATGGTATATTTTAATATGAAATATAAATGATGTACTCTTAGTTTAAGTAAATTCAAAATTGGCAATATTTTCAGTCTTAAAGCACAAGAATCACTTAATAATATGTATTTAAGAGTCCGGAATATTAAATTTTTAAATTTATAATAATATATACATATAGAAATATGGTTTAACTGAATTGTACTGGTTATTTTAGAGCGGGAATGTACTTGAATTGAAATTAATATTATTTATTTAATATTTAATTACATATAGTACAATATATTTTGTTTTTCAATTCAAGAAAATTGGAATTTCTGACGGGCTAAAATTATTTGATTTTCAATTCTCCTTGAAGTATGCAGGACAAGTTTAAATAATTATTTGCTCTAACTTAAGGCTCAGACAGATATGTAATTTTCAATTTTGCATTCCCTGCTTGATTGTAGAATCGTCGCGCGCACATCTAACTGTATAAACTATTGCGTCAATTAAAATTGAATTCGATAACCAGAAATTGCTATTAGTTTTTAAAAATTACAAACTGTTTTATTGCATAATTATGCATGCGACCACGCAGTTGTATAATTGGGCGTTTGAATATAAACTTATGGAATACAAATAAGCAATCAAACAGTTGTAAAACTAAAAATTGCATGTCTATCTGAGCGTATAAGTTTGTTCTATTTTTACTTAATTTTTCCTTGTTTTAGAAGAAAAAATTGTCATGAATACCCGTATTATTTTATGCATAAAATGAAAAAATCTTATTAATTACAGAAAATTTGAAAAATTATAAATAATTTTTCGATTACTTTCGTATTAATTTCGCATGCTTCTAAAATGTTTTCTATAATTTTTCAAGCTAAGAAGGAAAAGGAGCAAAACTTTCATGCATAATACAAAATTTACAAAAAATATCTTAATTATATGCAATGCGATTTGTAAAAATTAATTGCAAATAATTAATTTTAACACAGACTGCAATATTTTTCTAGTTTACGAAGAAAAACAAACTCTTTAAATTTTTTTTTTTAATTTGTTTTTTTTTTTAAAGGAGATGGAATTTTTAAAATATTTAAAAAGTTTTAAGTTTTATTGCCTAATTTTTCAAAAAGTTTGTTCTTTTTTCTTTAGTAACTTAAAGAATTCAAGATTTATAATTTTTTTTTTAAGTATTCGTATGCTATAAATAAATTTTATAGGGTTTCACGTTAACCAATTTTCGTAGCGGATTCGCATAATCTTTTATATTGGTATATAGAAGTTCATACCTCAGAAAATGAGTTAAAAACAAAAAATATAAATAAATAAAAGTTGAGAAAAAAAATTTCTTAATAATTTTAAAATTTTAAATTATTTTCGGCATATTATGGCGCAAGAAAATTGCAATAAACAATAATACAAATACGCAATGGAAATAAATAGAACAGATGATATCGCAGTAGATGGGGTTGAAAACAAAAATGGATAAGCAATAATTCAGAGTTATTCTTGAATTCTATTTGCATTTTGAAAATTTATTTTATTTTCAATTTTCTCTCACATTTTTACTTATATTTTAATTTGGTGTGTTAATATTGAAAATATTATGCTTCTTTTGCATGACCAATAATCATCCTAAAATACCAATTATAAATTTAAAAGAGTTAAAGAAATCATCAGTAGTTTTGAGATTTAAGTTATTTTCAATTTAACTAAAATCGATTTTAGCAATCAACTTTTGAAAAACATGCCGCGAAAGTTTTTGTCGTCAACACGAAATTTTTTATATACATATTTTTAAAAAACTAAAACTGAATAGGTCCCAAGTTTATTACAGATACAATTTTTATCAGAAAATACAAATAATGTTGTGCTTGTTGCTTCGATTTCAAAATTTAGTACTAGTATTATTATTGGTCTTTTCACTTTTTGGTCTTTTTATTAGTAATTTTTATGTTCTGCCTTATATTTTTATTCTCCGTTTTTTTGGTATTCTAAACTTATGTTGTTTGTTCGTGCATTTGTAACTATTGACAGTTACTAAGCAGTAAAGACACCGTCTTTTAAGTTTTTGTTAGACTGCTTCAAAGAGCTATTTTGTAAAATTTTCTGAATCTTAAGTTTTAATCACATGCTTTGAATTTGCAATTGAAAAAATTGGGTCAATCAAATTAAATTTAATTTTCATTTATAACATGAATAAACTCTCATGCTGAAGTTTCTTCAAATTATGGTACTTCTATGTGCCCAAATAACCAAAGAAATAATAGCTTTTCAAAAATATGCGGGTTTGAAATTTTCTCTTTCCTTTTATTAATTGTACGAATTTTTTAGTACGATTTGTTTCTTGCAATTAAAATTTCGCTTGCTTAATATCCATTTTTTAATGCTAATTATGCAGTTTTAATGATTTATACTGAACTAATTTGAGAAGTAGATTCACTGTTTTTCTATGTTATGTATTTTCAATATTATTTTACTGACAGCTTTGTTCTTCCAGTTTATAATGTCTGCAAGAATTTGTCATTTCATTTATTACGCATATCGAATGGAAAATTAGATCTTTTACGAAAAATATTAATTTTAAATTTAATATTTTCAACTATCTATATTATTAACCATTGTTATTAAATTCAATTCATATTATAGTTAAACATAGTACCAGCACTCATTATACATTTAGTTTCTAATTTATTTTTACTGATTTCTTTAAATTTAGGCAGTGAAAACGAAAATATTCTTTCTTGTTGCTTATAGTAATAAAACATACATATTTTGTTTTTAAGAAAAAATTCTTATATTATATTATCCTATAAAAACTAAGACTTTTAATAATGAAACCCACAGAAATTGAAAGATGTAAGAATGATTCATTCGAATTAAAAAAAATTTTAGTTATTTTCACCTTCACCTTTTCGAAAATCCCGAAAAAGTAATAAAAAATTTAAAGAAATTTTGCATATTTTTACATTAGATTACCCCATTGAATGTAATAAGAAAAGTTTAAAAAGTTCCATATGCATTTCTTCATAAACTAAACGAAACAAAAATTTTCTTTAAATTCCAGAACTATAAAACTATTATAGTTTTATAATATTATTCAAATTATTTTACCATGAAAATTAATTTTAAATTTTAAAATTTGAATGTCATTGTAATTTCTTAAAAAATTTATTTTCATTTAAAGAATAAATTTTCAATGTGGTCGATTAATAATATTCCAGAAGAAATACTTCTAGTTAGTTCAACCAGAAATAAAAAAAATGTAAACTACATCTGCTTAAATAATTTCGATTCGTATAAAATTATCAGATAAGGAAAATTTGTATTAATAAGTTTCCAACCTAACAAAGAATTAAAAAAATTAAAAAGAGCTTGAGAATTTAATTAAGAAAGTATAAAAAACAATTTTGTAATTTACAAATTATAAAATTAAAAGAAATATTCATTTGAATTCTAAAACAGATTCGAAAATTGTATCTCTCCTCAATTACAGCATTTTGAAATAGTATGCTTGGAACATTTCGATCACATTTCAGAATTTTCGATTTTCAGAAGAATAAGAACTATCCAATTACCTGACCTATCGCTGAGGGAAGAAAATAAAGCGTTAATTCATCGAGCAGTTTTCCATCGAAAATACGTACAAATAAGGACGAAATGTCCTGAGTGCTTTAACAATTTTTCCATTGTAATATAAATGTGAAATGCACGCTCATACAAAATTTTTCTCCTCTGTTATTTAATTTTTTTTCTCAAATATCATTATTAAATTTAATATATCTGTGGATTTTAAGCTTTTAAACTGCATACTTTAAAGAAGAAAAAAAAACACATTTTTTGATGTAAATTTCATTTTGGTTCTTTATTTTTTTCTCTTACAGCTCTGAAATATTTTTACAATCAAGGATTTTCAAACAAAAATAAAAAGAAATTGTCATCATCATCATCAATAAAAATAAAACAAATTATTTTTTTTTTATTTAATATAATAATAAAAAAAGAAGCAAATAAAAAAGTTAATAATAAAAACAAAAGAAGAAATCAAGATAAAAAAAATAATTGAATTGGGAAAATGGGGATAATTTTATTCTTCATGGTGTTATTACTGCACCAGTCAACAACACATCCTTCAATACAATCAGCAAATAATAAAGATATACGACGACAAACAACCGAACATGATGACATAAAGGATAAAGAAAATGGAAAACAAATAATTGGATCAAGGTAAAAATATTTTTATTATAATATTTATATTGGACAAATAAAATATAACATTATGTAATTTCTGCCATTATTTATGCATATACATACACACATATTTTACACAATATGCACTTATTATTAGGTAACAACACTGTATATGAGCGTAGATATAAAAAATGTCTACTTAAATTCATAATTCAATTTGAATTTTATGCACACATATTAAAAAATAAATAAATAATTTTATATAATTATTGTTATATTTCATTATAGGTATTTTGTGGAATTATCAGATAATTTAAGAATAAAATGTATTGATATATTACAATAAGTTTTATGAATTAAATTCCAAATAAATAATGCCATAACAAAAAATTTAATAAGTTCGGAAGTTTTCAGAATATCTTTATTAAACGTATTGCATACAACAAAGGAGGCTATTTCTAGCTCTATTGCTCCCTACAAAATATCTTAATAAAAAGTAAAACAATGTTGTTAATTCAAATTACATGTGATTGGCATGTTTAGAACTATTCGAACATTTCGGCTTTTTTCATTTACACAAAAATTTTTGACTAATTTAAAAATTAATTCTAGTATAAACCAATTTGTCAAATAAGAAAAATAGAAAACAAAAATTTTAATTTTTTTTTTAATTAAAATTTATTTTTTTCTAAATAAAAATTTGATCTAACGGAACAAAATTTCAAAACTACCCTTTATAATAATTATTCATTTGCAAAGGCAGAACTTTCACTTTTTTTACATTTTTCAAAACACAAGCAAAGTTGGTCCACTAGGACATGGCATCAAATAAATATTAATTTATTTATTTTTTAAATTTTGAGCTTATGTGCTATTTGGGACTTAGTTGACAGAAACTTCTCTAATACACATTGATATTGCAATTAAAAATTGATTTAATTATTTTATTTATTTCATAAATAGAACAAAAAATTTATTTTTTGCATTTTCATATTTAAATTTTATTTATATTTTGCGACCTATCGGTAAATTTTGTAAATTTTACTTAACACTTACTATGTGCATGAAAACCAAATTTTTTGTTGAATTTCAATCTCCATTTTGTTTTTCAATATTGTGTGTGCATACAATACAATTTACATAATTATTTGACTAATTCCAAAATAATCTAATTTAATGCCATAAAATTGATAATTCACGTCCATAAAATTGTTTTTTTTCTTGTCTCTCTCTCTCTTTCTAATTATAGTTGTCAACAATATTGTGTTTAGTGTAAATAATAGCTTTAGAGTGTTGTCAGGAAATGTTTGATGATTATTAATGCCAATATGGGTTTAAAATTATTTAAAACATTTTTATTAATATTAATCTCAGTGTGAAATTGTTAAAGCTTCTTTTTTATTTTAATTTAAATGGAAAGATTTTATAAGTTGATTGGATGAAGAATGCAATTTTCAGAAAGTAGAATAAAATTTTTGTACATAAGGGAAGAACATTATTTAAATTGGAATGCAACAAATTTAGCTTATAAAAGTACTTAGCTTCCCTTAAAAATTCTTCCTTTGTGTATTTGAAATGGAGAGGCGGCGTTCGGAGTGGTGGGAAGGCCTTCCGGAGCTTCGACAGGTCAAGCAGCTTCTGGGAGAAGGCAAACGCAGTATAGGAAAATCTTAGGGTTCGGCAAGAATCAGGTGAGAATTCGAACCGTATCTTGACGAAGCACTGTATTCTTAGGGTTACCCTAGGGGGCTGGGCCTAGAAAGTGGAGATATTTACAGATTTTGCTGGAAGAGCAAAGAAGCGACTCGAGGCCGGCAAGAGAAGAAAAATACTAGGAAACTGTGACTTCCAATGTCACTAAAATTCATCGGTAGGGTGGGTCGCGAGGTGGTGCTAGCTGCAAGAAATTTGCCAATCATGCTTTCATTCGTACCTTAGATATTATTTGAAAAGTTTTTGTCGAATGGTTTAACCGATTCGATTAACTGTCATACAACTTTAAAAACTAATTTTAAATATTAACTAGTTTTTATAGTCAAATTGTTGAGATGTAGGGCAATTCTTTTGGTTAGTTCCCACAAAAATGTTATTGATTCAGTTCGTTTTGAAACACAGGATTAATGTAATTAATTGTACTGTTCATCTCTAGTAACTTTTTTATATACAACCATGTGCTGTTGGTACACAAATTAGAATATTTTAACAAAAATGAAATATTGTAGAGGTGCATCAATTTATTCATTAGTTCATTGAACTCATTATTACAATATTGCGACTATATTATGCAAACTTTTTTTTACAAATTCTTCACCTCCTACAACACCAAAAACTAAAAAGAAAAAATTTATATTAATCAAATTTTTATAATTTATCGCTTATTTGAGCATAGAACTTTCACTGATTAAAATAAATTACAAACTAAATGAAAAAGAAATGAGATAAAGAAAAAAACTGAATGATCTTCAATAACCTGATCAAAGAAAATTAGAAATTATTTTTTTTTTGAGATCCACCAACTTCAATTTTACTTTGAAACCGTGCGGCGTTATAATATTTTTATGTTAATATTCTGTTTGATGATGAATTGATAAAACAAATTTTGTTTTCTAATTAATTACAATATTTTTAGCTCTCTATAATCACAAGAATTGATAATGAGTACGGAAACAAAAATTTTTCTTATAAAATTTTCAAAGATAAAAAAAAAGGTTACGATTGGAATTTTATTTTTTCGTTTCTCATTAAATTTATGAATGAAAATTTTTATTTATTTAAATGAGCCTCTTAATTCATGCAAATTTTCCTAAATTTAAAAAAAAAAATTTCATTATAAATCAAAAGATTTTACACGTTCTTAATTATTGTTTTTACATTTTGAGTGGAATTTTAAGTTGGGCACTGAGTGTTGTGATTTTATTTTTGATTTTGACAAACAATTTTGTATTTATTTCTATAAAGAAATTGTATAGCCATAGGTAAAATTAAAACAACTCTGGAAATAACTAAAACTAATAAACTTCACTAATTATTATTGTTAGGTAAATCATTAATAATTATTGTTAGCATAATTATCGTTATGCTATTATACTATATTATCGTTATAATATAGTATAATAGTATGACACTTATCTGAGAATTATTACAAAAGTATGATTTCTGCTCATGTAACATTGAAAGTTTGATATACTTATATTTTAGCTCTGGTGAGCGACCTTATTATTAGTTTGTTTTTCAGGTTATGCGATTCTTTGCCACAATATATCCACTTTTTATATTATTAAAACTTTAGAGGATTACAATATACCATTATTTACGCCACATACGATCAGATTTGATTTAAGGAAATTGTGAAAGGGCTGCATTGTTTTGTTGTTTCATTGTAAAAGTTCATTTAAATTACAAGTATTTTATGTTTATGTTCAGTGACTATCTAAATATCTATGTACATAAAGAGGGATCGCAATTTATAGTACATTGCTTTTTTCGGATGTCTTAATTTCAAAATATTTGGAATAACTAATTGTATTCTATTGCTATCCTTTCCTATCCCAAGCTTTTGTAAATCGCCAAATATTCTAAATGAAAATAACTCTATCACATTTGTAAACATTAATTTTTAAAAATTTTATTAATACTCTAATAATCCTTTAATTTTAAATTTTTTAATTTCTCCTTTGCAATGAATTTGAAAAGAAGCAGGAAACACAAATTGAGTTTCAATATTGCTATAAAAAAATCAGTAGGTAAATAATAAACTCGCTATATTTAAAAAACCACCATTTTCGTGATAAAACAAAATTTTTTACATACATAACATTTTTTGTTTTAACATTTTTACATCGTGTCTTTTTAATTTTTTTTTTTATCAATTTAATTGTTAACACCGCATGTTAATATTACGCGTATCAAACACAACAAATTTGGTCACAATGTACACAATGATATTGAAAAACATTAACTGGTCATCCTATCATCATTACACGTAAACAAATAATATTAAATTTTACCTTCATTGGTTATGGGCTTATAGAGTTTGATACCCGCTCATAAAAAACAAAACAAAAAAAAAACGTTAAGTTTTTGTAACCAATAAATAAACACACAAAAAAAAAAATAGCGGAAAAAGCACTAAAAAAAACCAATGAAAAAGAAATGAACACACAAAGAAATTATCAAAAGAAAAAACAACAAACAAAACCTAAGGAAACAGCAGAGAAAAAAGGTCAGTAAACAAAAATAGCCCTGAATGCGTTAATGACCATGATGACGAGCGTGAATTATTTTCGCTGTTTTTTACTCTGCGTTTCATGTTCTGTTTTTGTTTTTATATAGTTTTTTGGTTTTTATCTTTGATGGCTTACCGATGACCTTTACGTGTTTTTTCGGTTTTCAACAATTTCAAATTTTATAGTTCTTTTCTTCAATTTTGTCATGTGATTTTATTCTTTTGCTTTTATTTTTGCCATTTAGTGCTTTCGTTCTTTGGAAAATTTTTATTAATAATGGCATGTAAGTTATTTTCGTAATTGTTTTGGAATTTTTTTCATTTTTTTTTTACAAGTGTTAGTTGCCTTGCATATTCTTGTGATGGTCTAAAATTGTTAACCTCTCTCGAATCAGGGTGAAATTTAACCTCTTTAATTTTGGTTGAAAATTTGTATACATATACATTAAAATAAAAAAACGAAGAATGCGATTTACATATTTGCAGTGAAATTTGCATTTTGTACATTTCGTTGTTAAGAAATACAAACCAATTACAAAATTTTTATTATTCTTCAATCAAGAACAATAACGCTCTCAATTTTTCAATTAAAACGACAACATTTTATTATTTAGCGAAAATGATAAATCAAAAGAACTACATAATTATTTGGTACTAAAGACTTTATTGTAAATGTTACAATGATTTCAATTCAATAGGAATTTTCATATACAATTCTCAAAGACCCTTGTCGCTCATTTGAATGTGTCTGTCTCTTATCCTTTACTCTATGCGTATTGATCTACATTTAAATGAAATATTAATTTTTTTT